AGCTTCCGGGTCATGTGGCCAGCATGACTAAGCTGCTTCTGGCGAACCAGAGCAGCGCACGGAAACACCGTTTACCTTCCTGCTGGAATGGTACCCATTTATCTACTTGCACTTTGACATGCTTTTGAACTGCTAGGTTGGCAGGAGCAGGGACTGAGCAACGGGAGCTCACCCCGTCACGGGGATTTGAACCACCGACCTTCTGATCGGCAAGTCCTAGGCTCTGTGGTTTAACCCACAGCGCTAGACCACGCTAATAGTTCGCTGGGTCTGTCCATCCCCAGCCTGGTGCTGGCTGAAGCCAATGAGTGCTATACTCCAAGACTTCCATAGGGCACCAGGCTGGAAGGATGGACTTAGTCTAATGTCCTGCTTCTGCCTAACCACCAGAGGTATTTGGGAACCCCACAAGCAGCACATGAAACCATCAGCCTCCCCCATCTGACAGCCATCAACTGTGTTATAAACACTGAGCAAAGTCAAGCCTTCTGCCTGCAGTGGAGACCTTAATAGGCATTAACATTTCTGCAGAACAGTCTCTCTCTAAAGGCATGCCCTGAGCACCCATTAATGCCCATGCCTGGTGTATTAAGTGACGCTCTTTCCCTGTGGGTTTGCAATGCACCCATGCACATCAGCCACACTGCAGGAAGCCCTGCAATGCCCTGGCTTCCCCTGTCACTCTGAAAGGGATCGCACACATGAATTAAGTGGCCTTTTCAACAGTCTTGCATGTGGAAAGGATTCTGTGGGCAAGTGCCATGCTCTGCACCCATGCACCGATTCCTGCACTGCAGGGGATTGGACTGGGTGACCCCTGGTGTTCCTTCGTGGAATGGTAAAGTTGGAAGGGACCCCAAGGGTCATCTAGTCCAACTCCCTGCAATGCAGGAATCTCAGCTAAAGCATCCAACTTCTGCAACTGTATGATAAGCAGATACCTATTCCACCATATGTGGCACCCAGACTCCTCTTGTCCATGCAGAAAGAGATCCGTGCATGGTTGTTATGTGCCTGCACGCACAAACAACTAGGAGTGCTTCTTTTCCAGGTATGATACTTGTCGGGAATCCAAAACATCCATTAAGCATCGAGGTTTAAGAGGAGGCAAGCGATGGCCACGCTTCAAGGGGAGGACCTCAGCAGGTTGAAGAGGTGGAAGTTACAGAGGGAAGCAGGTTAAAGCAACCTCCTTGCATTTTATTTAATTCTTTCTGCACTAAAACAGAAACCTCATCTTGCTATGGTGCTTGTGGGTTGGGGGGGGGGGTGAGAGGCTGGCTATTTGCCTCCGATCCCAGCCTACAGAGAATGGATCCTCCCAGAGAGAAACAAAATAAATAGAAATGAACAAGACGAGGGGAGGGAGGGAGAGTGCAAAAAGAAACTTTCCCATGAAAATATTTTATTTTCTTAGAGAACAGGATACACCTGCGAGTCTTAACACCAGAGGGTAGTTGGGGGTGGTGGTTTTTTTGTTTTTTTTAAACTTAATTTATGGATTAATGGACCCCTCTGCTGGCAGGAGCCAGAACTGCACTTAAAACCATCCGCTCCCCACCCCCTTCAAACTAGAGTGGTTTTAACAAGTGGTAAGGAAGGTCAACTTTTTACAACTGCATCCAATTGCTCCAATTGCCATCAGGCTTAATTAGGAGTAGGGGCAGCAAAACACAGAGCCACAGGGATGCTTTTGATCAAACAGGAGCAGATTGGGCTTCTCTTTCAAACTTCATTAAAACAGGGGAAGATGTAGCAAGTCTTTGGCGGATGGGGGAGTAAGAAGGAGAGAGCAACAGCAGCCACAACAGGACACCCAGCACGCAATAGTTTTGCTCCTTTTTTCCTCTCCGGTGGGAAGGATCTGAGATCAGAAGAACAGCCTTTCGACCTATGACAGCTCCCCACCCATTTTGCATTTCCAGAAAGGAAGCTGCAGAAATCAGAGCAGGCACACAGAGGAGGGAGGATGGGGAGGGACTCAGACATACCAGCTCAGAAGGGTGGGGGACATACTTCCAAGACAGGCCGGTGAGGCTTTTTTTTAAAAAAGAGGGGGAGGGCACTTTCCCAGACACAGAGTCTTATGAAATACAGGAAGAAGAAAAGAAACAGCTTATTCTCGCTGTTCTCTTTGATTGCCTGCCCACCAAATGCCAGAGCTTAGAAACACATGGCAGCAGTAATCACTATAGCTAGGGCAGGGTGGGAAAGAGAAGGAGCCACACACACACACACCAGGGCAGCAGAAACGCACATTCCAGACCCTGCAATTGCATCTCGACAAACGCGTTTACAGGAGCCTTGAAGCCCCTTACAGCAGAAGCTTCATGCACCAGTTCTGCAGCATCCTTGTACACCCCTGATGACTGAAGCTCATTCTAACAGCTGGCTTCCAGTGCAAGATCTCGCAGACTAAGTGGGTAAGTTCCGCCATCTCCTTAGTGGAGCTACCTACCATTCTCAAGCAAAATGCCTCCCACCTGTGAACTCCAGGTGAGCAACAAGTAAAAGAAATACTTTGGTTTTTCTTGCAGGAGCCTGTTCTTGTAAGCCACTGCAGGTAGATATGGAATCAGAGGGCTACATCCTTGATTGGCCTGTAGGGTTGCTGGAGGAGCATGCATCTGGCAAAGTAGACTGTTGCCTTCTACGTTTGTTCTACAGGGAGCCAATTCAGCCTCAAAAGGTAGCACAGCTCCACAAGCCACTCCAGCCTACGGCTATAAGGAACAACCAGCATGATCCACCCCATAAATAAAATGTATCTTGCCATTTCCTAACAGAGTCATCTGTAAATTGCACGGCCAGCAAAAAACTCACAAGACACAGAAAGGAAGAGTGACCACAAACATTTAAAACCAATGTCAGCTTGCAGAACCCAGGCTGTTGCCCACCACTAAACGCCACGGAAAAGAAAAATAAATAGAGGGCGTCCAGATCAGCACAATGTTTTATAGCAAAAGCAAAAAAAAAAAACCCCTCTCACCTCACTCTTCCAAGCCTGCTCAGCTTCCAGGGAAATTCAAGGCAAGCCAAGCAATGGATATTCTTCCAAAGTGCAAAGCGGAGCGAGGAAAGAGCTCAACAAACTGTTCCCAGCTGACAGCCTGGAACTTCAGACATGAAGTTAACGTGGAAAAGGGATGCAGTTCAAGCAAGCCAGGAGCCATGCCTTGAGCAGAAAGGCCAACTCGCCACCAGCAGCACTGAGACTCAGGCCAATTCCTCAAGACCAGCCTAATGCCAACTTAAAGCAAATCCACAGAGTTTAAACAGGTTGACATTGCCATCATCTCATGAGTCACCCACACAAGCAGCACCAGGGAGGAAGGGAGGGGTCATTGCTAGAATGCCAAAGTAGAAGCAAAGACCCAGCCCCCTTAAGCTTTGCCGCTTCTCCCAAAAACCCACCACTTTGACACCGGTAGCCCAGGAACAGCGTATTGCTCTTATGCAATCTACCGAAGATTTTCATTGCAGGGTGAGGAACACACAATACAATCTTTGGACATTTCCTAACACACATTTTAGAAGAGTCAATGTGTCTTCTTTGGAAAGAGCGTCAGAAGGGGCTACACAGGTAGTTTGCAAGGAGGGGAGGGGAGACAAAAATTGTGCATTTGTGTTTCACACCCACCCCAAGAGAGTCGCTTGGTTCTGCAGGGAAAGTGGCACCCCCAAATTACTCCTCTCCCACTTCCTGTCCCTTCCAATTCAATGCAATCAGATTTTTAGAAGGGTGACTGCGTGGAACAAGGAATCGTTTGCCGCTTGTCGGATGCACCTGACCCCAAATAATTTGGGGAGGGGGGTAATAAAGGAAGGGGGGATTGGTCTACATAGCAAACAGCCCTGGATGCTGCAGAACATCCTGAACAACCTATAATGCGGAGAAGGGAGAGTGAAAACAGGTGGTTCAGGTAAGAGATTCCTGCAAAGTGCAGCCCTCATCCCTAAACATTCCTACAGGGCAGGGAGGGGGGTCTGCAAAAACTTTGCCGGGAGATGTGGTGGGCTTTGGGTGGAGAGAGGGGGGGATACTGAAAAAGGGGTTTTAGTAAGGGGAAAATACAGACTGCATAGAGGCTGGGTTGAGCAGCCTGCAGGAGATTTTCTTGTGCAGTATTTTGGAGCGGTGCGTTTTACGCGCCGGAGAGAAGCGCTCGCGGGTCGTCCAGCGGGCAGGGACGCCGCCGGAGCGAGCGAGCGAGCAACCTGCCGCTCTCTGCTGGAAGGTGAAGCGGGATTATGGGGCACACCTAAGGGAGACAGAGGCAGCCGGATTGCTGCCAAGTCACGCAGGGGTGGGGGTGGGGAGGGGGCACAGCGGGCGCCCTATATGAAAATGGAAGGGAGAGAGAATAGGGAAGGGTGTCGAGGCTTTGGCTTAAATGCAAAAGTTGCAAAACCTCAGGGTTTGCAGCAAGCAGCATGTTGGAGAGAGGAGGAGGAAGAGGCAGGCTCGACGGTGCGGTGATGGGCGCACGCCACGGGCTGCGAGGGGGAACGCTGCTAGCAGGTTGTCGTGGGGGCAGAGGAAGGCACGAAGGTGAACTTGCAAAAGACAAGCCCCGTTTCCAGGGAAGCATTTTACGAATAAAAAGCGGACAGCGGGTTTGCTCTGAAGCAGGCCCCTCCCAGGTCGAGGGCGCTTTACTCGCGAGGAAGCGCGCACAGCGCTGCAGCCCCAGCCACCGCAACCAGATCTCGCTCCCTTTGCTCCTACCGGCCCCCGAATACCCAGCGGCGCTTTACTTCCCACGAAGCGCAGCGTCGCTTGCGCGCGGGTGAAGCGCAGCGCGATCCAAAGGCAACCGATCCCGGAGCAGCCAGCGGCGGCCCGGGGCTCGCTTCCTCGCCAGCAAAGCGTCGCAGCGCCACGCGATCGCCGGCTGCAGAGTCCGACCCCGCCGCGTTACCTCTGGAGAGGAGATTAGGGGGTGTCAGATAAAAAGCAGCCCCCCGAGGTGAGGCAGCCGCGCCCGCCGCCGACTTACCCGAAGTAGGCAAGGGACGGTCCCGGGGCGCCGGCGAGCAGCAGCACTAGGAGCGCGCAGGAGGCGGAGGAGAAGAAGAGCCAGCGGAGCAGGCGGTGTCCATCCAGCATTTTGCTGCGGCGCTCGGGCTGACCATCTCGTTCCTTCCCCCGCGGAGCCGGATCAGCAGCCGGGCGGCTGGAGGCGGCCGCTTTATAGGGAGGCCGGCGGCGGCCCGAGCCCAGCTGCGAGCCGGGGGCGGGGCCCCGAGCAGGGAGGCGAAGGCCGGGGGGCGGGGCCAGGAGGGGAGTCCCGCCCCCTGCGCTCCGCCTCCCTCCCCCCCTCCTCCGCGCGCTCCGGGCGGAGACCGGCGCAAAGGAGGCAGCGCTGCGCTCGGCGAGAGCGAGGCGAGCTTCGGGTCCTGAGCTGAGGACGGAGAGGTGGATCCGGGAAGGGAGAAAGTCGATCTTCGGCCAGGGCAGCAGCAACTGCTCTCTGGAACTCCCCGCCTGTTGCCCTGCTGGCTTCGCAGCCTGCTAAAAACTCTCCCCAACCCCTTCCGCTTACTCATCAGGAAGAACTTTCCGATGGTAACTTACCTGGCCAGGTGATGGACTTACCTGGCAAGGTGATGGACTTGCCTTTGTTGGAGGTTTTCCAGCAGAGGTCGGGGGGCCTCCTGCCAGGGATTCTCCAGCAATGATTAATGGATTGCAGGGGGTTGGATTGGATGATCCTAAGGGGTCCCTTTCAATTCTGCAATTTTGTGTTTCCAAGCATTTGGAGGTTTTTTTTAAAAAAAAACAGCAGCAGTTGATTTTGTCTATATCTTGATGCTTTTAATATGTGCGCCGTTTTTAAAAGCCTGTCATTTTTTTAAAATGACAGATTTATTTACTTACAGCATCTATTTATTTATTTTACTGAAGGTATACAGTGGTACCTCTGGTTGCGAACGGGATCCGTTCCGGAGGCCCGTTCGCAACATGAAAAGAGCGCAACCTGCAGCGGCGTGTCTGCGCATGCGTGGATGGCGATTCGCCACTTCTGCGCATGCACGTGACGTCATTTTGTGTGCATGCGCGAGCGGCGAAACCCAGAAGTAACCCTTTCCGGTACTTCCAGGTCGCCATGGGATGTAGCCTGAAAGAACATAAAATAAAGTGGACGTAACCAGAGGTAAGGGACCCCTCACCATTAGGTCCAGTCGTGGCCGACTCTGGGGTTGCAGCGCTCATCTCGCTTTATTGGCTGAGGGAGCCGGCGTACAGCTTCCAGGTCATGTGGCCAGCATGACTAAGTTGCTTCTGGCAAACGAGAGCAGCGCACGGAAACGCCGTTTACCTTCCTGCTGGAGCGGTACCTATTTATCTACTTGCACTTTGACGTGCTTTCGAACTGCTAGGTTGGCAGGAGCAGGGACTGAGCAACGGGAGCTCACCCCGTCGCGGGGATTCGAACCGCCAACCTTCTGAATCGGCAAGTCCTAGGCTCTGTGGTTTAACCCACAGTGCCACCTGCATCCCAACCAGAGGTACCACTGTATATATATATATATATTTCCTCCATGGAGCTCGAAGTGGTGTATTTTGCTTCACCTCCTTTAATCCCCAGAACAACCGCATGAGGTAGGCTAGGCTGAGAGGCAGTGACTGGCCCCAAGTCACCCAATGAGTTTCATGGCTGAGCGTGGATTTGAACCTGGTTCTTTCATATCCTAGTTCCACACTCTAACCCAGGCTTCCTCAACCTCGGCCCTCCAGCTGTTTTTGGCCTACAACTCCCATGAATCCCTAGCTAGCAGGACCAGTGGTCAGGGATGATGGGAATTGTAGTCTCAAAACATCTGGAGGGCCGAGGTAGAGGAAGCCTGCTCCAGATGTTTTGTGACTACAATTCCCATCATCCCTGACCACTGGTCCTACCAGCTAGGGATCATGGGAATTGTAGGCCAGAAACATCTGGAGGGCCAAGCTTGAGGAAGCCTGATCTAGCCACTACACTGCATCATGTTATACCCCTTACACGTATATTTTGGGGGAGGGGTTTAATCGAGCACTGAGACCTCCGGGTATAGGGTGATATAAAAATTCAATTAATAATAATAATAATATATGCGGGTGGTGCTGTGGGTTAAACCACAGAGCCTAGGGTTTGCTGATCAGAAGGTCGGAGGTTCGAATCCCCACGACAGGGTGAGCGCCCGTTGCTCGGTCCCTGCTCCTGCCAACCTAGCAGTTTGAAAGCACACCCAAAAGTGCAAGTAGATAAATAGGTACCGCTCCAGCGGGAAGGTAAACAGCGTTTCTGTGCGCTGCTCTGGTTCGCCAGAAGCAGCTTAGTCATGCTGGCCACATGACCCGGAAGCTGTACGCCGGCTCCCTTGGCCAATAAAGCGAGATGAGCGCCGCAACCCCAGAGTCGGCCACGACTGGACCTAATGGTCAGGGGTCCCTTTACCTTTACCTTTTGTATTGTAGTGTAGTGTAGTGTAGTGTAATAATGTATTGTATTGCTGTTTTTATTATAGGTTGTTCTTTTTTTGGCATTTATATCTCACCTTTTTTCTCCAAGGAGCTCAAAATGGTGTACATGGTTTTCCTTTCTCTCCCCAATTTAATACCCGTGTGAGGCAGGCTATTGGCTGAGAGCCAGTGACTGGCCTAAGATCACCCAGTTAGCTGCATGGTCAAGTGAAGATTTGAACCCTTTACATTCACCTGGATACGTGCATGTGGAAGGTTGATTAACAATTAGGAATAATAGCAATTAAATATTGCATAAAATCTTGTGTGGCAGCGGCTGTTGGGGGAAAGGAAATCTCAAGGCAGCTTGCAGATAAAATAAGAACAGCTAAAAACATAGGGAAAAAACTGTAATTAAAAACAAAAGCAGACAGACAATCTCAACAGAAACAGCATGACCCTCATTAAAAGTGGGCAGTTCCCAAAAACCTCTTCACCTGCCAGCAGAAAAACTGTGCTGTGGGTGACGATTAGATTAGGCCTGCTCTGCAAGGCCACCTAACAGAGTGAAGGGGTAGAAATATTGAATGCTCCCCCATATCTAGAGAAGAAGGAAGCGGGAAAGTTCCTTGACAGTTTAAAGTTCATAGAATCATAGGTCGAACTGAAGAGTTTGAAGGGACCCCAAGGGTCATCTAGTCCAACCCCCTGCAATCCAGGAATCTCAACACGTGTTCCCCCATCCAATTTGTAACCAGACTAGACTCTGCTTAGCTTTGTAAATCTGCTAGCGGTTTTATTGCTGCACCAATAAGAGGACAGTTCTGTTTCCTGCTGTGCTAGATTTCTTCTTGCAGGGAGGGTTGTTTTTGTGGGGTGGGGAGGTAATCAAGGAACCGTTCAGAAATGGAATCTCCCGAGACAATGCATGTAAACCGAGAAAATCTTTAATGAACATAATTTTTTAAAAAGAAAGAAATGGAATCTCCCCACCTGCAGCCTAGTGTGAAATCGTTTGCAGAGTTTGGACCCAGTTTATTCATTAAGTGGATTCATTTGCAGCATGTTTCATTCATGGTTGCTAGCCACAAAGACTATGCTTTTCCTCCACAGTCAAGAGGCTGCTTGCTTCTGAATAGCAGTAACTGGAGACCACAAGATATTTATTTATTCATTCATTCATTTATACATACATACATACATACATACATACATACATATGGGACATACATATGAAATGCGGGTGGCACTGTGGGTTAAACCACAGAGCCTAGGACTTGCCGATCAGAAGGTCGGCGGTTCGAATCCCCCAATGGGGTGAGCTCCTGTTGCTCATTGCCTGCTCCTGCCAACCTAGCAGTCCGAAAGCACGTCAAAGTGCAAGTAGATAAATAGGTACCACTCCGGCGGGAAGGTAAAGTGGCATTTCTGTGCACTGCTCTGGTTCACCAGAAGCAGCTTAGTCATGCTGGCCATGTACGCTGGCTCCCTCGGCCAATAAAGCGAGATGAGCGCCGCAGCCCCAGAGTCGCCCACGACTGGACCTAATGGTCAGGGGTCCCTTTACCTTTACCTTATACATACATACATACATACCCTGCCCATCTGGCTGGGTTTCCAACAAAATATTAAAAATACATTAAAACACCAGTCATTAAAAACTTCCCTAAACATGATGGTGGAGCAGACCCCTGCAGGATCACACCATTGGTACATGGCTCAATTGCTGTATCAGCTGTCACTATTGCAAAGGAGGACAAAACCAATGGCAAGAGATCTCTTTGAAGACATCCACATCAGCACAGTTTGGAACTGCTACCACAAATTGGGCAGTGATATATTCAGAGGCCACCTCATGAGAAGAGAAGACTCCCTGGAGAAGACACTGATGCTGGGAAAGATGGAGGGCACAAGGAGAAGGGGGCGACAGAGGACGAGATGGTTGGATAGTGTTTTCGAGGTTACCAGCATGAGTTTGACCAAACTGCGGGAGGTAGTGAAGGACAGAGGTGCCTGGCGTGCTCTGGTCCATGGGGTCACGAAGAGTCGGACACGACTAAACGACTAAACAACAACAACATATTCAGAGGCATCCAGATTATCGCAGTTTGAAACTGTTTGGTCCACCAGCTGAATTCAAAACAGTGTCTGATGGCATTAAAGCACAGGCCAAAATCCACTCCTCAGTCTTGGGAACAGACCTACCTAATTGGGCAGCAATATTTCCAGAGGCATCTGAAGTGGCGGAGTTCAGAATGTTTCGGTCCACCATATTGATTCAAAATAACATGCAGTATCCAAAAACTGCCTCCTCCCTCTCGGGAACCACCGTATCAGGTTTGGTCATGGTATCTCAACGGCGGCAAGAGTCTTAACAGCACAAGGATGGAGGAATGAGGAAATCCCAACTAAAGAACTGTGGCAAGAGAAACCGATGGACTACGCGGAATTGGCAGAATTGACACATAAACTACGTGACAAGGATAACTGTGATTTTAAAGACGAATGGGAACCTTTTACGAAGTATTTAAAGAAACAACAAAGTGAACTGGACTCCTTGGCAGGTTTTGAATAAACACAAAACTTTATTGGTAACATACAGATAGATAAATTGAGGATCGTTACAATTTTATAATATGCAGAGAATAACATGTGTTAAGAAACCAGAGAGAGGAACTGAGGGAAGTCAGGCTGGGGTGGAGGGTGGGTTTTTCTGAAATATACTCGGAGTCAAGAGTGGATTTCATGCTCTTTATTCAGCTCATAGTG